ATGTACTATCTAATAATATATTTTTGTCTGGTGTTTAAAAAAAATCAACACTTATGCAAGAATATTCCAATTGTAAGAACATAAGTTTGAATACACACTCACTTATTCATTTTTGGCAAAATATTATTTTTGGTCCCTTAACTATACCCTTGTGTTCAGTTTGGCCCCTTAATTTTTTTTCGTGTCATTTTGGTCCTTTTTGGAACATTGTTACATTTGTCCTTTCGCTAGTGGACGTTGGTCAAAGCGTAAAAACATATGCAAGTGGCATGTTACCTGATGAGGTAGAATTGTGACTCAATATAGCTTCAGAAATATTGTGTTGACGTGGATATGTGACTCAACATAGCTTCAGAAATGTCGTGTTGTTATTCAAAACGAAGGAACCCTAAGCAGTTGAAGATACACGAAGGCAATTGAATCCACGTTTGAAGGCGCACAGTTTGGAAAAATCAAGCGAAGTGAAGGATTGAAGACAAAATTTCAATCAGAGGTAAATATTATTTGCATGTTTTTCGTAACTGAATTAGGGAAAATTTTGGGGATTTATGTAGATTTAGGGATTTCTGTACATTTAGGGTTTTTATGTAGATTTTGGGCTTTTCATATTTTAGTGTTTTGACGTACTCTATTTGAAACTCAATATAGGGATAATGGATGAATTTCTAAAACTCAAAATTAATCATAGTGGTGAATTCATTGATCTTGAACTAAGTGTGTATGAAGTAGGACTACTACATGATTTGAAAGTAGATTTTGATAAGTGGAGTTATTTTGAGTTAGTTGATGTATTGAAGGAGTTAGGTTATAGGAACTTTGAGACAATATATTACAAGGACCTTACATATGGGATGAATGCCCTTGTTAACGACAAAGGTGCTTTAGAAATTGCAGATCTTTACAAGGTGCACCAAAGTGTTGATATCTACTTTCAACACACTTTGTCTCAGCTTGATTATTGTGATGGTGTTGTTGATAATGTTGATGAGGGTCCTGATAACATTGTAAATAAGGTGGAAGAGTTGCTTAATAAACTACATGATGACATTGTAGATGAGTTGAATGATGGTAATGTTGGTGTGGAAGAGGGTAATGTTAAATTGAAGGATGGCAATGATGGAATGGACTCAACCAATGTTGTAGTGGAATTAGACAATGTTGTAGTGGAATAAGATAATGTTAAAGTGAAGGATGTCAATGTTGTAGTGGGATTAGACAGTGTTGATAAGGTGCATAATGCGTATAGTTATGATGACAATGAGGATGACAACTACCATTATGATAGTGCTATTGAAGTATCTTTTGAGGGTGACTCTGATATTTTGCAGGGTCTTTTACCTGCAATGGATGATCTTTTGCCTAATGATGAACAAAGATTCTGTGTGAGGCATTTGTATAAAAATTTCAAGAAGAAGTATCTTGGAAAGATGTTGAAGGAAATTATAGGGAGGGCTGCAAAATCAACATACTCGCAAGCTTAGGAAAAAGATATGAGAGGAATAAGATTGATCGATCAAGATGCATACATCCATATGATGAAGACCCCACTAAGATATTGGAGTATAACATATTTTAGGACAACTAACAAGTGTGATGTTGTTCTCTACAACATATCAAAGTCTTTTAATAGTGTTATTCTTGACTCAAGGGCTAAACCATTAGTCATTATGGTGGAAGATATCAGAACCTACATTAAAGAGAGATGGGCAAACAATAGGATGGGGTTTCAAAATGTCTCTGATGATGAGATTTTTCCTAACATTAGAAGGAAGATTGATAAAACAAACACATTCACCAACTTATGGCTTATCAGGTATGAAACATTGGTTATTACTGATATTTATAATAATGATTATTATGGTTGGTACTGATATATTAAACATTTGTAGGATGTTTTATGAACACATGTTTGAAGTAAGGCATGTAGAAAAACAAGCAGAAACATTCACTGTAAGTTTAAAAAACTACACATGGTCTTGCAGAAGATGGGAGCCCACAAAACTTCCTTGCGTTCATGCATTGTCAGCTATAAGAGTAGGAACTTTAACATTGATAATTATGTCCTTTAGTATTACAGGAAATCTAGGTACATGACAATCTACAAGCATGTGATTTACCATGTGAATATTGGATCAAATCTTTGGGTTAAGACACCATATCCGGACGTGCAACCACTTAAGTACAGAAAGATACTTGGTAGACCAAAGAAGAGGAGGAACCTTAAACAAGGGGAGATTGATGAGACTGGAAGAAAAATGGGAAGAACATGTTTCACAGTCAAGTGCAGTGGGTGCAAAAAAGAAGGCAGTGCAACTTAAGGGAAAATACTAGTTACTCAAGGCAGAGCAACTCAATCAACTCAAGGGAAAAGACCAACTACTCAAGGCAGTGCAACTCAAGTAAATCCAACTCAAGAAAATGGAAATACATAAAATCTAGGTGTAAGAAGACCATTTGTACCCCCGAGACCAACAACTAGATTAGCTGCAACAAAGAATGTAGTTGGCCCAACAACCAGGAGGTCTACTCCAACCAAGAGAATCACACCAAAAAATAACTTCTAGTGTTATTTATCCTTGTCTAGTTAATGGTTTTAACATGTATTTTTTGAAGGACTTTGGTATCATGTAATGTATCTTGAACATGTTTATGTAACATGTCAGTGTCATTTTAGAACCTTTGTGGAATTTTGTTATGTCTTGTGAACATGTCAATGTCATTTTGGAACTATTTGGAATCATTTTAGAATTATGTAGCGTGTTACGCAAATCAATTTATGTGTTATGCAAATTATTTTCGAATTCATGTTATGTGAACTGATATAGTAAATTGATATGTTTATGGACCGGTACAAACAATAATTTGTCAAACAAACCAACTCATATTAAACTGATACAATGTGTTACATACCAACTCATTCATAACAATACAATGATACAAACTGATACTGCTAACTGATACAAACTGATACATACCAAATCATCCACACAAACACGTACATACTCCTAAAATATCCTAAAAAACAACGCACATAAGATTACAAGAAACATAATATTGCGTGTTTTTTCCACTTCAAGATCTTGTTCACTTGAGTTTAAAGTTCCGTCACAATTTTCCCTAATTTTTCATTTGTCACCATGACTTTTTCAAACTCTTTTTTTGCATCATCAATTTCCTTTATTATGCTTTCCAACCTAATCATCATAAATTTCCCCTTCTCATCTCTCAAATCCTCATATAACCAATTGAAAAAACCACACTCTCTTTGCAAGGATCCCTGGAAATTTCATGTATGTATCAAAACGGGTTTATCACATTTGGACATAAATCAAACTGAAATTAGGGCTTACCTTAGAATTTGAACAACCCCAAAAATTTCCAAAATACTTATCAGTTGTTGTCCTACGAATCACAACTTTGTCCCCCACAATGATATTTTGGTACCCATCGCGAGTTTGTGTATACACCGGATTCACAACTTTCAGAGTTTTTATACTTCAGAAACGAAGAACATTGGTCGGACTTCATGCTTCGAAGAAAACTCAGATGAAGAGCACAATGCAAACGAAGATGAAACGATGCAGATGATGTAAACGAAGATACACAATGCAAACGAAGAAGAAAATCGTTAATAAGGAAGGGACTTTGAAGATGATGTACCATTGTCAACTCAGCTGCCACGTAGACTAAATAAATTGAATGGATGTTTGAGGAAAAAAGACGGAAGAGACTCATATGCATCTATTACAAAGTTAAAAGACTAAAGTGATACGAACAAAATTAAGAGATTAATCTGAATCCAAAGGTATTGTTAAAGGATCAAAAATAATATTTTGCCTCCATTTTTAATTTGTGAAATTTAAACCATTAAACTATTTCATAAAAAAATATTTGTTGGTTAAAAAATTATTAAGTTTACGAAAATAAAAAGTTACTAATAAATTAATAAAAAAATATTAAATTTTCCTAAAGATGATTGATCAATTGAACTTTATTAATATCTAATTGGTTGTAAATTTAATAATAAATAATTTTAATCCTTCCATTGTAATCTAAATCAAATTTTTACCAATCAATCTGATTTCAGCAACTAAGAGAGTTGGTACTTTAAACGTATGCATGAAGACCCAATCTAGTACTAAACACATAGGAGAAAGGTAGTGTTGTTCCCACAATCCCTCTTTGAAGTACATTGAAATTCAAATGGTAACCATTGAGCATTAAATCTCATTCTAAAATTTCTAGTTAAAACATCTTTTTTCCTCAATGTTTTTAGTGTCATTCTTGGTTCAACGAGTCAGCCTTTATTTATAGTCTTGTTTTAAAATACCAACTTTACTTGGTTAGTTTGTTCAATGTGATCAATGAAGAAGAGAAAAAGTATGTTAACTTTCAACGCAGACCTGTCCCAACTTGAGGAAGTTAGGCAAGTGAACAAACTTTCCTTATCAATAGAAGCTTACTGTTTCCTAGATTCCTAAAATCACATCAAAAGTCAAAACCCTTTAACATTGGAGTAATGTGTACACTGCTCGTAGGACACTTGTTAACATGATCTTTGATTATTGTTCTTGAAAACATCAAATGTAAATTATGAAATAGACACTGAAATAAAGAAGAATATGAACACTATTAATTACTATGATAATGTATTGATACATATTTGCTACTGCCTATAATCTGAAACTTAGTTACACAAGCTAAAACTCACTGTTATGCACCAAATTAGGATTTTTCTCTGTCAGTTAAATATATAGGACAATTAGTAAGGTTAGTAAATTGAAGTCATTTAGAAGATCGAATGACTCATGTTTTGAGATGGTGTTTTAAGTTCCATTTGCTAAATTTGTAATATTAGTGACTTAACACGGCTTCAATTTACGAACCATGATGATGATGACTGCCACAGAGCCACTTAACTTTGCACCATTTCTTCATTGCAGGAACTAGGGATCCTTTTTGCTAGAAAATGCATAAGCGAGTGACTCGGGTATAATTCATCATGTTCCTAGCTGTCTTTGTTGTGTTTGGCATGAAGATGAATTTGTACTGAGATCTGACACAGCAAAGCAGTCACTGGCATCAGAAAATGGATCGAGCTTTCTTAATCTCTGTGCTCGAGGATGCTGAATGATTACCAGAACTTCGTTTTTGGAGGGTTCATCATGAGAAGTGGAAATTGGCTACACAAACAGAAAAGTGAGATGAATGAATAGATAACAGAAGTCAGCAAAGGATTATATCAATTAGTAAACTGTCCAACTAATGAACATTAAAGCATATTTGTATCACTTACCAACCCAATGTGCCATTCATGACTACTAAATTCTTTAAATGTTGCTGCATCCATTTCCTGCATCAAAATTCTCAGTGTAGTCAGAAAACAGAATAATATTCTATAAACTAGAAAGTACAAATTAAGATATTGTTTTCCAAAAGCTAAGACTAGATTGTATGCGTCATTTACAACTATTTCTTACAAATGTAACTGATTGTTTAGAACAAAATATATCGAAAATATTCCAGTTACTAAAGTTTCAGCTGCACATACGGACTAAAATAAAACATTCCACTGAAATCCTGTCTGCTTGAACCTGTGAAGATGGATAACTTACAATACTGTAGATGGGAGGCACCAGAGTCTGGCTTTTAGACTTTGTGGCTGGTATAACAGAGAAGTGTGGTGCCATTTCTTGTGATCTGAAAATCCATCTGCAGGTTAAGGAATGGATTAAGAACTATTTGAGACTAGAACTGGACACGTAATTGGAGGAAAATCATTAGTAGTTTTCTTGCACTGCTTTGTCTTATGTCAAAGAATTTGATCAAATTTAGATAATTCAAGAGTTGATTACAGTGGAACATAGATAAGCATACCCGATGTACACAAAGATGCAAAATTGTGCCCATTCTCTGATCAATAGACGAAGCCAGTAATTCTCTGAGGAGTCGTAGATATTCATATATATCTACAATTAACAGGCTGTCAAAGTTACTCATTTGCATATATATCATTGTTCATGAACATATAATAAATGAATCCCAAATTACCATAGTTTCTGCCATAGCTACCATCTGCATTGCACCTTGAAACTTCCTGCACAAAGTAAGCAAAGAATTCAACTACCAAAGTATGAATTCTTGTTTACATGAGACTATATACATATCTATGACATTTGGGAAGAAATTACTCGTATACACTTCTTATATGTGTGACACTTACTTGAACATTATGTACTTTTTATACACAGCATCATACATTGCTCGAACATCCTCATTTTCAATAATGCTCAACTGTTCTCGCAGCACTAGTAGGTTTTGGGATATATGGTGGAATATAAAATAGAATGAAATAAAATAATTTAGAAGCAGAAGCACCTGTACATTTGTGTAATAATGGATTAGCATCAAAGAACCAAGCATGTTTGTTATAAATCACAAATGCTCCATTCAAAACAGAAAGTAGTTTCAATTGGGCTGCATATTATAATGTGTAATGACCATCTAAGAAACTTACTGTGAAGTATGGAACAGATGCCTTGTAACCAACTAGAGTCAAGTAAAAGACACATGCAAGTGCGGCAGTTGAACGGCGTTCATTTAAAGAAAGGTGCTCACACATGATACAGTAACCATGAGAAATAAGCAAAAAGGAGACAAAAGCAGCTGTCTGAAAGAGCACACCGGTTACATATACACCAAACGACATCCACAAAGAGCATGCCTGAAAATTGAAGCATGAATACCTGCAAAATTGGTGTCACAAATACATCGACAAATGTGCTGTAAAACAAGCTTCAAGCATGCCAATCTTTCTTCAGTCTCACACCAGAAGAATCATTTGCAACCCAACATGAATGCATTTAGAGTTACCTTAAGAACAGACCTCATACATCTATTACTTTAGAAATAAACTACTCCAAAATGTAATTGATTCTCCATTATAAACAGTAATTCTGCTAATGAACTTCAAAATTCATGCTAGTAATTTGACTCATTTGAGCAGTGCCCTTTATCTCTATCAATAACTATCCTATCCTAATACATGCAAACAAAACACCTTCATTTATCAAATAGTACTAATCAAATTCAAATCTTTGTTTTAATTTTTGTAAGACTAATGTCTCAGTGTTTGTGCTTAGTGAAAGACAATATAATATCATCCTAATAAATATAAAAAAATAATAAATAAAAAAAATACAAACTTTAAAGCTAAAAATCCAATTCATATTCCACAACCCAATAAACAACTATGAAGCTCAGACACCCCAAATATGACCACATCACTGATACGGCAACGCCGATAATAATTTGAAAAAATAAATAAATTAAACGTTATCATAAGTATCGGTGCAGGTGCCCGATATCGACACGGACACGCTTTTCACCGACACGGACACGCTTTTTTTCCAGAGGTGTCAGTGCTACGGAGATAAACAAAGTCAGAAACATACCAGAAGAGGAAAGATAGCATGAGCTGCAATGCTTTAATCAATGGAATCAAACTAAGGGTCCACTGCAAATTATTCCACTGCTCTAGCAAAACAATATCACAAAAATGAATAACAGTTTCAAAATATTATTAAAAAAATCACCTGGTTCAAATTCAAAGTACAAATTAACAAACTATAGTCATAATGGGATTAACAATTTAATCAAGTGTTAATAACATAAAATCAAAAACAAAGTCTCATATAAACTATAAGCAGTTTTCTTAAGTTTTCTCGGAGAGTTTATAGACATAAGCTGAAAATAGCTTATACACACAGGGCTTGTTTGAATAAACAGCTTATTTGTAGCTTATAACATAAGTGCTTATCAAAATAAACACTTATGAAATACCATATAAGGTAGTAAAATTCATTTTCTCTGGTTGCATGTCAATAAAACCAAAAGGATCAGACTCAAATACCGAAACAGAGTCCAAAACTAGCAAAAAAAACAGTTCTCAACATAGCAAGACTCAGTTTCAGTTCATAGATAAACAAATTCAACTGTTTCTCATCATCTAAAAATCCAAACCAGATAAACAATTATGCAACAATCATGAAGAATTCAACCATATCAATTGAGGTGAAGATTAAGAAGGACCTGAAAATGGCGGATTTTGTAGGTGTAAGCGGTCCATGAACAAGCAGAGACGAACCAGATCGACAGGAAAGTCAAATAAAGCGACGGAAGTAACCGATAAGACTCATCCACTCCGTCGCCGGCGGTCATCATTTAGTTGCCGGAAAGTTGTGTATCGTCGCCGGAGAATTGAAGTTCGGTTTAAATTGTAATAACTGTTTATGTGCCTTCGTTCTGTTCTGTTTCGTTTGTGTTACTTTCGTGCGCATACAAGGCGCATTTTATACTCTAGCTTTGCACACGTATCAAACGTGGCACTCTCATTCTTTTTGGTTTTTACGTTTTATCATCATTTTCAAATTGTAATTATAATATTGAGAATTCTATGATCACCTTGTAAAAATGAAGTGACGTGATTGAATAATAAAGTCTTATTAGATGTAAATTTTATATTTATTTACATTAGGTTCCTATTTCAATAATTTTCTATATAAAATAAAAATTATTTTAAAGAAATAAAACAACACAAACAAATAACAAATTGTGCCACCCTTATTTCAAATAATAAGATCAACTGTCAAAATAAATGGTACGTGATCATATTAATTATTATAATATTCTTTCTTATGTTTGACCATTTTATTTGAAACTATTTTAAAAATTATTTGTTTCAAAATAAAATTTTAAATTTGCAATCTAACCAATGAAAAAATCTCAATCAAATATACACATATACGTTTTTCTCATGCTCACTTTTTCTCATACACTCACTTATATTCTAAAATATTTGTTAATGTAAGTGTCGATCTTATAAGTCAGCCAATAAATTTACAAGCGTTTATTTTTTTATAAGTACTCTAGTGTGCCGAAATATATTAAATAAAATATCCATAAACAAAGCAATGCCAATATTTTTAAAAATAAATTGTTTTTCATATGAATTCAAATAACTTTTGCAACAAACGTCACAAATCTCGTCAATAAAAATAAGAGAATTATAAGGTGATATTTAACAATAATATGATATTCAACCAATAACATATGATGACTTAGTCCGTTAATAAAAATATCAAGGAAATATATATATATATATATATATATATATATATATATATATATATATATATATATATATATATATATATATATATATATATATATATATATATATATATATATATATATATATATATATATATATATATATATATATATATATATATATATATATATATATATATATATATATATATATATATATATATATATATATTATAAACTGATTTATATGTTGATTACTATTTAGTATATTTGGTGGGAAACCATGATAGCTTTTGACAATCGGTTATGATTTTGGGGAATGAATATGGATGGGTTTAATTAATTAAACCTTACTACAATTATATTTTATTATGTAATAAAATGCAAAGTTGATGGACCAGATTTTGGGGGAAAAGAGTTGGTGGGTGTAACTATCTTTGGTGCAAAGTGGAGTCATGCAACAAAACCACTCCAAGATTTTGCAATGCTAGAGTGACGAGTCATCAAATTATACCCATGCAAACATAAAATTACATTATAATTTTCAATGAATTATTTAATCATACATTTGTTAAAAGTCTATTAGCAATTTAAATTGGGCACGAAGTCGTGAAGAGCACTTAACTTTTTTCAAATTATTTAATTCATGTTTATTAATTTTTTTGGAGATAATGTTATTATTTATCACGCATATGAATATAACAATGCTATTATAAAAATAGGAGAAGTGTCTTCATTTTGTTTTATATTTTAAGTAAACAACAAAGTTCACCAAATCAATATAGAAAAAAGTGTTGTTGGTGATGCATTTGACCAACTAATTTTTAGGCAAATGGGCTTTGACTTTTCAGAAACAAATTGAATGCTTTCTACAAATTTGAATTGTGAACATTTTTAGTTAGTTGCATAGATTTTAAAACTAAATTAAATTTTACTTATTACTAAATTTTTTTTTATAATAGTAATTGTTCTGTGTGGGGCATGTTCAAGGAGGAAGTCTAATGATAAATTTCAATTTAAATTTTTGATGCAGTAGACAAAGAAATATACGAGATCTCGACAAATAATAAATATTTGATTTTAGTTTGTTCCATGTAAAATTTCACTTTCATTTTATGATTTCATTGACTTAAACGTTTAAGTGACAATCTTGTAAATTATTTGTTCTGATGTATTTGAAATTATCTTTGCTACATCAAGAGAGGTCATTCTTCTAACACATCACTTCTCTTATTCTCCTATGAAATATTAATCAGTAAAACAATTAGGTAATTGAAAATATAAAATATAAAACTATATTTATTTTAAAAATAATAAATATTGTTAAGAATTCTTAACACGCACCTTTATGCTTAGGACTCGGTAATTAGAGTGTGAGAGGGGTATTGATAGTCTCACATTTTTTAAGATGGTATCAGAGTTTCGTTTAACATTCATTAGATTATCGATCATTTAGTTCCACGCTCCAGACGCAAATTTTAGGTGTTAGAGGGGGTGTTAAGAGTCTCTTTCAGACAATTAATGGCTTAAACGTGTATTTATAAGTGGTTTGGTCTAACTCAACACTAAAAAACCTGCTTTTAGGGTGATGATTGCCCCCACTTATAAACACATGTTCATGTCATAGATTGTCCGATGTGACACTCTTAACGCCCTCTCTCGCGCTCAGGATTTGTGTCTGGGACATGAAACTAAATGTTGGGTGGCCAAATGAATCTTAAACGAGACTCTGATAACATCTTAAGAATGCGTGGTTGGGTCTAACTCAACACTACAAAACTGACTTGTAGGATGAAGATTGCTCCCACTAATTAACACATGTTCAAACCATATATTGTACATTGTGGGAATCTTAACAAAAGATTTATTACTAAAATAATAATAAAATAATATTTATAGTGATATATTTGTGACTTGTCCATTAAGGACAAGAGGACCATTCATCTACAAGGGACGAGGGAATTCCATCGCTCGTAGAAAGTATATCGATGCCCACGACGCTCCTGCTCATCTTAAATAGAGAAATGTGAGAAATAATTTATCTTGGTCAAAGGAAATGCATAAGAGAAGTCAAGAGAATAACCCATGTCTCTTTAGAAAATAGAGATTCAAGGATTGACTATCATTACCAATGGACGGTTGCAATTCTAAGAAAAACCTAGAATCCAAGTCCATGGGACACTATAAATACCCCAACTTGAAGATCAAAGAAAAGCTCAACACATACACGAAATATCTCAAATATATAGTATTTCTCAACTCATGTAAACTTACTCTCTCTTCATACTCAAAAACACCACAAAATTGAATTTTTACCATCAACCTAAAACATCTTACCACTCTTATCAGTATAGAGGTGCCACACATTATATAGAGGTGCCACACATTATATACTTTTTACGAGTTCAATATTAAAAAATTGAAAAGAATTTAATACACATGTATGTCTAAAATAGATTTATACACTCTTGCAATAAAAAATCATTAAATTACCATATTATATAAATAATTTTAAAATATCTTTTCCAAATTGATAAAATGTACATCATCATTTAATATAAGTGTAAAATTATTTTACACTGTACATCTCTTATTTTCTCATATTAAAAAAAATAAAAATAACATCCTTCCTAGTTATTTTTTACATAAATTTTTTTGAAAAGTTCTTTAAGAGAATAAGATGAATTTTTTTTTCTTTTCAATATAAGAATAAGATGTATTTTTTAAAAAAACTTTTGTAAACTGAAAAAGTCATATCAATTCATTCAAACACGTAAAACTGATACAAATTTAATATTGTTAAGAATTAAATAGATGAATTTGCAAATAAAATTGCAACAATCAAGTTAAAGTTTAAATAAAAATTATGGCTACAAACATGACAAAATTAAAGTGATACGGATGCCCTAATCTTTGAATCTAAGACATTAATGTTTAATTATTGATTGAATTTATAATGGATAAAGGTTAATTTCTCAATCTAAATCAAACAAACAACACATACAAAATAAAAAGTAAAAATTAAAAAACTAATTCTATTTTAAAATCATTTATTTTAATTCAAACACTAAATAAATTAAGGCTGACAAAATGGTGAGATGTCTATTTTGCCTGTATCTTTTAATGACGCAGATTAAAATTTTAACTTTCTAATTATATATTCGTTTTGTTTTTGTACAGACACGAATGTTAATATAAAATTTTGAATTTTAAATTTTAAATATACGAATTCGCACTTTTAAACTCTAATTTTTTTCTTCATATCAAAATTGTAGGTTTGTAATTTTAATTATATCCGTCCAATTCTATTCCAATTTTTTTTTAAATGAGTTTAAAGACATGTTAATTTAAAAAAGAAAAACTATGCAGATGAATGATTCTCCATCGGTTAGAATGTGTAAAAGTTATATATATATATATATATATATATATATATATATATATATATATATATATATATATATATATATATATATATATATATATATATATATATATATATATATATATATATATATATATATATATATATATATATATATATATATATATATATATATATATATATATATATATATATATATATATATATATATATATATATATATATATATATATAAAACTTTTTGTCGAAGAGTATTTCTTTTGATGTTTGAACCAAATTTGAAGGCAGCCAAGGCGCTATGGTAGATAAAGATGGTCATCAGAAGAGAATCAATACTTTAGGTGAACAAACTCACTAACAAAACTAGTTTCCTTAACTTACTACCCAATCAAAAGCTTCGAAGACACAACATTATACTCAAAATTGTCATTATCCATAACATTTATTTTTCTTCTACGCAAATAATTAATTAAACACAACTTCCTCCATAATCACTTCATCGATCTCATAATTGCTTATTATGCCCAATAAATTGGTAAACCTCAAACTATCTACTTTGTCTCTATAATTTTAAATCAAGGTAGTTCTCTATAAACTAATATTTTATGTTGTAGAAGAAAAAACTCTAAAACGAATGTGGTTGTTGTTGGTATTAAAAGTCAAATCCAACATAAAGACCGAACTATTTGGTCTTCATATTTTTGAACTGTGTGAATGAAACATGAAA